CAGCAAATATTACAGCCCAACAAACGCAGTTGTCTGTAGTAACAACAAGCATTACTGCTCAACGAACGCAAATAACAGATTTGATCCAAGTAATGAAGCAGGATGCTGAGAAAATAAAGGAAATGGCTGAATCAACGCAGAAAGTGAAGAAGTGCAACAATTGGAAAAGAAAACTACTTCTTTAGAAGACCAAATGCTTCAAGTCCAAATGGATAAGGCTAATATGGTCCTGAGCTTCCAGGGTGTGCCTGAGAACAAAGGAGAGAATCTTAAAGAATCTATGAGCGAGCTACTCGCCCCAGTAACAGAAATAAAAGTGGAATTGTTACTCAACGACATGGATGTGGCCTACAGGTCATATTCAGGATATATAAAGAAAAACAATCTGCCTGGGGAAATTGTAGTAAGATTCTCGAAGAGGCACGTTAGGGATGCTATCCTGAAAACAGTTGCGGCAACACCCCTGAAGGCAGGGGAGAATGCTGTTAGAACGCTAAAGGATATTCCGTTTGAAGTAAGGCAACGTAGAAAGAAATACAAAGAACTTGTGCTCTTCCTCCAAACAAATTCAATTGGATACAAATGGCTATTTCCAGAAGGTGTAACATTCAAGATTAAAGAGAAGAAGGAAAAGATTGACTCTGCTCTTAAAGCTCAAGAATTTCTAAAGGAACAGCTGGGAAGGTCAGAGGACGAAAAAAGAAGAAGAGGACAGCAGGTCCAGTGGCGAGCTGGAAACTGGTACATCTGGCGAGGACTCTTTGTCTGAGCAGGGGGCAGCGGCCCCGAAAAGTCCCTACAAGCTGCGAAAGAGAAGAGAAAAGAAGAAGTAAAGGCTGAAGGACTCTGATTTGTGCCTTTGAGAACTTTGGTTCTGAGGGATGATTGGGGATACTGTTATTGGGAAGTAAAATGTAAACTTAGAGGGTAAAAGGTTTTCTTTTTTAAAGGGTTTGACTCAGTTCATAAAAAGAATAACGATGAGAAGACTTGATGTTTTAAAGCTAGTTGGAGGGTCTCCTCTCTTGGGTTTTTAGTCGGTAGTGGGTACTTTACTTTCTCCCATATATGTAGTTCCCTTACCCCTTTTTCTGTTGTAGTTTTTTGCAGTTAAAAAAATCAATAAAAAATCCCCTCCGGGGGCTCAAAAAAAAAAACTGCTCGAGAGAACAGCTCTGAGAGAACTTGTGACTGACCCAAGGTCACACCAGCAGCTGCATGTGGAGGAGTGGCAAATCAAATCCAGTTCTCCAGATTAGAGTCTGCCACTCAAAACCACTACACCAAACTGGTGGCAAAAAAAGTGTTACTACTTCTCAAAAATCAACAGGAAAACAACTCTGCTCCAAAGAAGCGCACCCTTTGCCACAAATGATGGCCCAGGCATTACTCTTTTCTTACTGAGGTGCCATGTCAGATGTAGCTCTAGCAAGGAACAAACATTTGCTGTGTAATTTTTATTGCACACCTAACAGGCACTGCTAAGCAGGAGCTGTGTCAGTTATCCATTCAATTCAGCACATTAAGAAATCTGTGCTCCTATTCTGTTGTGAAAGCAAAGCACCCTCTCTTATTCTTCATACTTTACTATCTCTAAACTCCAGTAATTTTTGTTCACATTCTACACTGGGCACAGGACAACTGGTGGGTCCCTAAGTCCCCAGGGTTTGCCTTTTGGAGACATTTTTATTATTAGCATAGTTCCCAATGCAAAGTTCATTCTCCGAACTTATTCCGCCTCTCAACCACTTTCAATTAAGTGAGTAGAGTCAGACTTTAAATCTTCCTCCAGCACAAAAGGTCTGTTTAGTCCTCCCTTTTTTCAACCCCAGCTGCTGCCTATGAACTAAGGAACAGGCAAACCGGGACCCAGTTTCAACATGACACTGGCAGGCAAGAACAATATGCTATCTCGCACATCTATGCCAGAGATCCATCATCTCAGCTGCTGAGCTGGTATGCTAACACTAAAGTCATTGCGGCCCAATGTGAAAGACTGCACGGCTAAAGCCTTCCAGTCTGGAAGCAAGCAGCCAAGGTAGTAAAGGAAAAAGCTACACTAAACCTTCTTTTGCTTGTACAACAGGCATTAAAAGTACCTTTCCTCCTCCGCCTGCTCTGTGTGGAGCTCCCCCGCTCCTCCCCCCGCGATTTTCGGGGGTCCCCTTTCTTGTCATCTCTACTACTGACAGAGTAGTACAATACTGGCTCTTCAAAACAGCAGTGCTGATCTCTCCCTAGGCAATTACCCCCACATTTTATTGACCCTCCCAACTCAATAGCCCATATATTTAATTCTGATAATCAGAAAGTAAATATTTATAAAACGATGCAACATGGGGTTAATTTATTTTCAATATATAATAAAAAAACAAATTAAGACAATACTGAAGGAAAAAATACTTTGTTAAACAAATGACTATGCGCTGCATGATATATATTAAACCACGTTCACGAACATCACAAATCTTTTTTAAAATGTTTGTTAAATTTTTATTAACATTTTCAAAAGGTTTTATTTTAAACAAGTATCCCAACTAACATTATTCCAACTACCCAGCCTACGCAAATGAAGCTGACTCAGAATTGTTTAAAAAATTGGATGAAAATACAACTTGGTTCTTGGAGTTCATCACATATTTAATTTGTTCCAGGGAAGCAAGGCTGCTACAAGCCCACTACCATGAAGGGAACTGAAAATAAACTGTAGAACTTATTGTAGAAGATCATGCTGAAGGTCATATTTAAATGAAGACTTCCCTGTATCTATGGGATGACCAAACCTTGAGAAATTCACTGGAGTCGAACAGCAGCAGTGTTAAATAATACTGAACAAGCAGCATTCTGCATACAGCTGCTGTTGGCCCAGGTGTTCCTCCAAAGCAGCCTAGGCTTCGGAGCTGGACTATTGGTCGCTAATATTCTGGGGGGGGGGGTTATTTTTGGATTTGCGTCTGTGTGTTCCCCAGGCAACTCTTACTGGAGCACAGAGGACATAAAGAGAAGTGGCTTGATAGCCTGCCTGTGGCCTTCCAGCCCTGGTATTCTCTGGAGATCTCCCATCCAAGATGTGCCTCAGCTATCCAGGTCAGGGTGGCTGCTAATATGGCGCCTAGAAATTTCATTGTGGCAACTAGTATGCTCAGCAATGATTTTATTGTGGCAATGATCAGTAGATGTATAAAGGGTGGGATCCAATAATTTTTTTGCTGGTGAAAAAGGGAGGAAAGGTTCCCCTTTGACCACCAAAGGATCCCTTTTATCCCATCTTTGCCTGGTGGGGTGGCCAGGTGCCTCAGCACTCCCAAAGTAACTCATTGGGAAGGGTGACAGTGAAGCAGCTCCTGTGCTGGGGAGATAAAATAGCACAACAAAGCCACAGGCTGCTTTTCATCCATGCCCAGCCAACCCAGGCCAGTCTTGACTGCCATAAAAGAAACACCTTTGGCTAGAGGCAGGCAAAAGAGAAATATTGCTGCCTGCAGGAAATGTGAGGCTCCTGCACCAGCTCTGTTTACAGGTCACTCAAAAACTTGCCAGAGAAATGGGGGTTGCCCAATCTCCAGGTCTGAGCCAAAGTATTGAGACCTTTCCCTCCATTTCAGAGTCTCTGGGGCAATTGGGGGGGGGGGGTAAGAAGCTGGAAGCAAGCGGGCAAATTCCCACCAGCTGCCTTCTAATGCTTAAACTGCCATTTCCCCCAGCTCAGTTTTCCTGTACTAGAATGTTCTCTCTTTCTGAAGGAAAGTAAAGGCAAAGTGGCTGTTCAGATGGGCACATTCTGAAGACAGGAAGGGCAAGAAAACAGTGGAGCTCAGCTATAGCCAGTGTGGCATAGTGGTCAATGTGCTGGACTAGGATCTGCAAGGCCCCCACACTGCTATGAAGTTCACTGGATGACCTTGGGCCAGACACTCTTAGGCTGCAGTCAAACACATGGAATAATCCACTTTCAGTGCACTTTCTAGCTGGATCTTGCCAGTCCACACAGTAAAAATCCAGCTGGAAAGTGCACTGAAAGTGCATTATTTAGCGTGTGTGACTGCAGCCTCAGCCTCAGCATAAATAAATAAAATAAATCTCAAAGGGTTGGCTGTGTGGACTAAAGGAGGAAGGGATGCCTTTATATGCTGCCTTGACCCTCTTGAAGCAAGGAGCAATCCTTGGTGGCAGTTAAAGGACCCTCTGTGCTGGAAGCACGTGACAGTAGGGCACTTTCCTAGGAATGGAACAGGAGCAGCCAGAGTCTCCTAACCTTCCTCTCCATCACCAAATGACCTTGCCTTGTTGTCCTGCTGCTCCTCTTAGCATGCATGGGGGGGGGGCAGCTGTTGCCCTCTGCACATGTGCACCAGCTGCAGGTCCTTTCACAAAGCTGCAGAAAAATGTCAGTTGAATTGGGGTTCAAGATACAGCAAGTCAGCTATGTCTGAGGTCATGAGACCTGCACAGAAAAAAGCCATATGGCACAGGGGTGCTGTAATAATGAAGGGAGCAGAGGTTGAGCAAAAAAGCTACCTGGATCTAACCCCAAGCATTCTCGTAATTTCAAATCAGAATGTTTTCTTGTATGACTTTAAAGTAAGTGTATGAAATTCTTGCTGTTGCTTGTTTATATGTAAACTTACACCATTCAATGGGGGTGGATGAATTCATTTCGTAACCTGCTGCTTTCCATAATGGCTTCAATATTCAATTAAAAGTAGCTTTTTAAAAGCAAGAAAGGAATTATGAGAAACTGGGGTGAAGTTAGGTTGGATTAGTAGTAGCTTTTTGCTGTGGTGGATGACAACGAGAGCTATCTGTATATTTGTTTATATATTACAAATTTATCATCATCACACTAGCACAGTGTAACTGAAGATGCTGTTCGTGAACCACCACATACTGGCAATATGCACATTTTGCATCATTTAGCCAAAGACATCAGCCTATAATCCCAATGCTAAACACATACATAATCACTGCTGCAGATTGTCCAATCCTTCTGCACAGGAAACTGCTTACAAAATGTATTTTTGCAAAGGAATCTCAGTATACGTATACTCTACACTCTTCTTTATCACAATACTAAATTGGCATATGTGCATGCCAAAATCATTGCAATTTCCCAAATCCATTTATATTTTGAATTGCAAACAATATTGTAACTATCTAACAGAAATAACATTGCCCTCTTTTGGATTTCCAAACTGTCACTTAGCTAGTCAAATACACTGTTTGTCATGCTGGCCAATAACTTGTTCTTGTTTTCTTGCAGTGTGTAATTTTTTTTTTAATGTACTTACCCACAAATATAAAAACACATCCTAGCCCTGGTACTATGAATGCTCACATACAAGAGTGATTGCAACTGCATTCTCTTCACCCCCACACTCCATTTTAAACTATGAGTCCCCTTCTTCTTACCAACTGAATATTCTTCTGTGTCCTTACACCTAAAAGCTACTTGAAAAAATGTTATTATCCCCACCATTCAATGACCTCAGAGGATTTGAAATGTGAAACAAAATATATGCAGAATATAAATCTACCAGGCAACAACAATAAAGTCTACAGTACAAAGAATCTGGACAATCATGAATTGGATGTGATAAAATAGATGACCACTAAATGTAGAAATAATTCAACATGACCTGAAAATTAAAATTTACCATTTCATTGGAATCTGGGGAACTTTTCTCAGAGTATTACATGCTGCACGGCTCAAGTAAAAAGGAAACAGACTTCAACTTGAGACTGTTAAACTTATCTGGGTGATCACCTCAGGTTATTAATCGATGCTATTAGCTTCAATGGGCCTAGAAGGATGTAACACTGCTAACAATGGTGCCACAAGCTCAGGAGAGCAAGGCTCCCCTCCCCCATTTAAAACAGCACACAGGTAAACAAATTGCAAAGCATAAACACAGCTGTATCATTTTTTCATTTCAGCTCAAAAGCTTTTCAAACTAATTTCAATTTATAACATCCCCAAAGCATCCTCTGTTTCTAATTATAGCCAAAATAGTTTGATCCAGCTGTAATTATTTCTTAGCATGGTCCAAGGCTATTCGTCTATGTGGCCTTGAGAAATAAGGCATCCAAAATGTAAGACTAAAAGGTTCTTCATTTCACTGGCTCACCTACAGTATCTAAATTACAACAAAGAAAGGAAAGATCAATTATCACTTTCCCAGAGACGTTTCACATACGGCAACTTTAAAATGTTTTTTACCTGCGGGAGCGCGATCTTTTCCTTCGAGATTTTGAACTAGACCTGGATTCTGAACGTGAATGGGAACGCGATCGACCACCTTTTCTTTCACTGCTCTTTCCAGACTCTGAGAGAAAAAACGACTTTGCAGTGTAAGCTCAGAATATTTAAAGATCCCAGCTAACAATCTGGCACAACTGGAATGTACCACATATATTGCAATGGGCCTATTCTCTGCACATCTTCCTTCTTTGCAAAAATCCTTCAGAAACATCCAAGAAAGTCATTGCATATATTCGTTGAGTGCAGCCATCCTGCAGCAGTACACATAAACCAGATAATTATAAACAGCTAGCTAAATAAGGTATGGGATTTATGTTGCTGCCACAATGCACAAGATTAAAACATGTTCTTTTGGCAAAATTTAATTTAGAGAGAAACACAAAAATTCTGAGACAGTTTGAAAAACTACACAGAAATGCCAATACTTAGCACTGTATTTTATTGTCAAAGCACTATTACGGTCCAATAGCTTATGTCTGAAACTCTGAAAAGTTAGGCTTGGCCTACAGACATGCTCCCCAATGATTTCAAAACCATGGTCAGGAGTATGTTATAAAGGAGAAACAGCAATATTTTTTAAATGCTCTCCTTATATGTAGTTACTACATAAAATAGTAGACTGGTTAATTCTTTGGGTGTCACTTTCACTCAAAGGTTAGTCAGATGGCAGCTATCCTTATGCCCAATGATTTTCTCATGAACTGTCTATTTGTGTAGTTCTAATTCAGCTGAAGAACTCCAGCTAACTAAAATAAACAAGAGTATCAACTGGATATTACGCAGCAAAGGATGTTTCTGAACTTCCCTTTTTTACAGACACACCTTTTAACTGAATCAAAATGAATTCAGAATCTTAAGTTAAGAAATCTCTAGTTCTGTGTAAGATGGCTAAGGCAATCACAAACTGTTAGGGCTTCTTACTTCATTTTTATTTTCTTAAACTCATGCTGCAGTAAAATACTTTGTATGCTATTTCATCAAAATAGCATATAGCAACCTAATGGCTTGTTTGTGTGCACAATTGTATGAGTGATTCTGCAGACTGTTCACAAAGAAGGATTTGGTGAAGAGAAGGAGATGGAAGCAGACAAGCTGATGGGCTGGACGCTGAATGAGACAAGGCCCTGAGATAAGGTAACAAAGAGGTGAGCTTAAAGGAGTGAGCGGGGGCAGTGGGGAGAGGCCCGAGAGAAAATGGGGAACAGAGTGAGAGGAAGAGCCAGCATGAAGGAGGGACTACGGCACTATCCCATAACTTGGGCCTTAAAAGAACTTTGTACTTCAATGTCACCACAGCACCCACTAATGTATTTCCTGGTGCCCACATGGTTTTTCCCCAGAGCATCTGTTTTTCTCCACATATCGCTGAAGCATGCAGTGCTCCAGAACATCCATGCAGAAACACCTGCCATCATCATAGGAATATACTCTACTTTGAAACTACTAGCATTTTGTGCCTCCAGAGCAGACACTTTTTTTGGTGGAGCCTCCAGGTCAACAAAGTTAGGGACCCTGTGCTACACAAAAGTAATATAGCTTTTAAATTTAAATGAAAAGAACTTTGACAATAGAAAACAGTGCTATCAGGTGCTAAAACAACACTGACTTAATTCTAAAAGTACTGTCACAAAATTGATGAGTCAATTTTTCCCTGCTTATTACATCATTTCAGGAGATCCTTTCCTTATTTTTTTATGTTCTTTGACGTACACAACAGGATTCATGCTGGTGGGAATACTTTTCTTACAATGCTAGTAAAATCCTACCTGGTTCAATTGCTGCCGATATAAAAGACTGAGCTTCCCGTACTCTTTTCATTACTTCTTCCAGCTCCTTAGCAGCTGCTTGTGGTGTCATTTCAGGAGGCTTCACTATTGCATTGTTGGAGTGATTAATTCTAAATCAAATGGGCAGATTTCATTTAGCTTACACACTGTTCAATCACACAGGCAAGACTCAGTTATACATACAGAAAAGATGCAGGCTCCAGGCTCTAACATCACATCTATTCTTTTACAGCCTAATAATCATTTTTATAGTGCCACAGACTCAGGCACATTAGCTTCCCTTTGTTTCATTCCCCCATTTCATCATTAGTCTTTTTTTGTTGTTGTAAGCCCTCTGCCAGCTTTTCTTTTAACCTGACTAGTGTACAACACTTAGAGTTTGAAAAACTTTATAGATACTAAACAGAAATTCCTTATTGGCTGACAAAACTGTTGGCAGTTCATATAAAATAGCTTAGTTCCAACTGAGACACATACACTTAGGTTTGCAACAATTAATGCTTGACTGCTTTTAACCTTTTACAGTTGTTTCATCAGGTACAAGAGCAGAAAATACACTGTGACTCTTTTATGACCTTTCTTGATTCCCCCCCCCTCATGTAATTAATGGTATTGCTGTTTATAGAAATGTATGTTGACTCTGGCCTGTGGTTTTTAGCAAAAAGCCAAATGACTATTACTCTTACTCACTTTCATAAGGGGCTTGTGTTTTTAAATTGCAAGCCTGACACTGGGGTACTGTGGCAATGCCTAAAGCATTTCTGTTAGGAAGAGATATCTTAAATGGTCATGGCCTCTGGACCAGGGCAAAAACTGATCACTAAAGCAAGGGTACGGAGGACTATTGCAAGGCAAAAGGGGGACCACATGCAGAGGATGCTGCTGAAGGCAATGTGACACAGAACTCTGCTTGCGTGACAACTACCACTAACGGGGAAATCTGTTTGGCTCACGCGCATTGCCCCATCTATCTTCACAACTCAGAAGGGAACTACATTTCGTTCCACTGCACAGAAGATACTGGTGACAAATGGATTTCTCAAAGCTACCTGGTAGAGCACAGTTTGGGATGCAGAAGGTGCCAGATTCACAGAGCAATCCTAGGCAGAGGTACACCCCTTCAGAGCCCGAAGACAACAATGCCCTTAGGACTGTACGGACAGCCCCCATTGCCAGTTAAAGGATCTCAGCACGCCTTAGGAAAGACCAAAATCCTGGAGGAGCTGCTGCCAATTACAAGTAGACCATACTGAACTGCATGGATCAAAAGCAAGACTCAGTATAAGGCAGCTTTATATGGTCAGCCTACACTGACTGAAAGTTAATATGTACCTGTTAACAACAAATATTTATCAAATACTTTACTGTTAGTAAATGGATTAAGGCACTATTAAGAATACATCCTGGGGAAACTCTGTCAACAGAACTGCATGCCGTTATAAACACATTTAGGGCTTACCTAAAGGCAAAAGCCTTACAAGTTTATCCTCAACCGGGGAAAAAAAATCCAAATTAAAATGTTGCTTCAAAAGCTACATTGTTTGCTAAAAATAGAGATTCATGTCTCTACCATGTAGCAATTCTCTAAGATTGAACAAAACTGCTATATTGTAGACTACCACAGCATAGGGTTGTCTGCACACAAAATCCGTCTCAATCAATTTTGGCAATATTTATTCAGTTTCTTACTTTAGTGGCCTGTCTCCAAACACAACACCATTAAAGGCAAGGGCTCGAGGTACAGAATTTTGGTCAGCAAATTCCACAAAAGCAAAGCGTGTCGGCTGAGTCTCGTCTCCTGCCATCCGTACAAACTTGACTTCTCCAACTTGCTTAAAAAACTCAAGCAGCTGATCAGCTGTAGTAGTCTAAAGGAAAAGATGGAAGAGATGTCAGTGGAAGTTGATTCACATATGCACATGTAGAAGCCCAACTTTGGTTCGATTTGTTGGTCACACTGTGCTTCTACTGTCCCATTTTCTCTCTACCAGCGGGGAAAGTACAAGTCTGCCTCTGAACTCCTGACCCCAAAACCAACACTATTTGGACAAGTTGCCCATAGACCAATGGGAACCACTGTGTACTTCCTATACCAGTGTAGCCTGAGTAGACTGAATGCCCCCAGCAGTGGACCCTTACTTATCCACACTGCACTGGAGGGGAGAGGGTGATGGCACGCTTACCTTTCCATCACACTGTGCTATTTGGGAAGAAAATTATTCAGAAAGAACCACTGCTTTGTTCTTGTGTTTCCTTGTATGTTATTTAAGGAAGCAGTCAAAAGATACCCTGTTCTTCTAGCGTTGTGAAATTTCTACCCCTGTCTGTAGATGCTCATAAGCTTTGGCAGACAATACACGCAACTGTACCGTAATCTCTGAATATTTGCCCGTGGAACAGATAACTTGTGATAGGTGACTTAGTTTTAGAGGCCAAATTAAAGAAGCCTGCACAAGAACACTGCTTAGATCTAACCGTGGCCCTAAGAGAATGGCACCACTTTCTGCCATAGAAACAATGCAAGAAAGGGAACTTACTCGGGGATGGGATGCACACAGAGGCCTCATCCCCCCGAGAGGCTTTAAAGTCATCAGCTCTCCCTCATCTTCCTTTTCATGAAAATCTGCAATTCTCTGATAAACAACAATAGGCAGTTTTCCAACACATCCTGTGACGTGGTCATTTCAGATATTTCAAAAACAATGAGTACATTTATATTTTTAACTGTTGCCATACAGAGATAGTTCAGAATACATCAAACTTCTTTTCCACTCAGTCTTGAACAGTTACTTTCTGTTATGGCAAATAAAAGGTACCAAACACACTTGGCTTCCTAACAGCTTATAGTGAAAAATACTGAAAACACTATTTTTGAAGGAAGTATCATGTTTTAGATGAAAATTAAAAACCAATACTAACCAAAGCATTTAAGAGGCAGAGATACATCACCTCCACAAGCACAGATATGTATAGAACCATTTATCTCTCTCCTCCTCCAAGGCTCATATCTTTGTCATAGCTTTTCTGAACCATCCTCTTCATTGTTACCCCTTTGCTAGCTGACTCCCCTCTGGCCTATCCCATAAACTCATCAGCCAGGACCCAAAAGAACTGCAAACACCCCCACGAGAACTCAATTTGGAAGTTCTGCAGTGCCCATTTCAGTTTGGGATTACAACAAGAGGGGGGAAGAGGGACTCTTACCATATTATTTATTGCACAGAATGCTTGTGTGTGCAGCCCCTCTGGGACTGTTTCAGGTCAGGAAAATGGCTGGGAGGGGGCAGGAACCCCCTCTCCCCAAGGCCACGGTCCCAATCTGAATCAGGCCTCCGTGGCGCTTCTGAACTGAGCTCCCAAACTAGCATTTTGCTCACAGTCAATGTGGCAATCATGTGGTAGTAGTATTTCTTCAATTTCTATACCGCCCTCCCCACAAGCAGGATCGGGGCGGCTTACAAGGTCACATAAGATATTGTGACAGAAAAACAATATATAAAATTCAAAAATTAAATTTTAATTAAATTTTAAGTTAAAAATTAAATTTTAAAACATGCAAAGTTTCATAAAACCTCAGAATGAAAGTTGTCTTGGTAGTGACACAATCCAGAGAAGGTCAAAGCATTACGTAATGTGTAGTCTGATCCTATAAGCAGCCTGTCACATACAGCACACAATACATGCAGTCACTCTATATCGTACGGGATAAAGCTGAACTTTCCCCAGCTCCTACAGATGAATCCAAAGACAACAAAACTGGGGCCAAAATCAGTCCAATAATACACTCTAAACACTAAATATGTATGCTAATACAATCACTTTTATACTTGACAAGTAAGGAGACCCGCGATACTCGCGGGGGGGGAAGAGCTCCGTCTCCTCCATCCCCCCCGCTCCCCTGCACATAACTCAGGAGCAGGCACAAAAATCCCTTTTGCTTTCGATTATACCAATCGGGGTTGGCGCAGGCGCACTATATCCCAGAGGTGTGAATGCACAGATGACCACTCAAAGATCATCAGTTAGAGGTAAGCAACCTGTTTTTTCCAAGTAATGTTCCTTGCATCCTTCAGTTGCTCTATTGTGAGGGAAAGTCTATTATCTAAATTCCTACTCCAGATGGACATAGTGGTATCTGAAATTAACAGATGAAACAAAACAGATGCTATTGAAGAGGGAAAACAAAAAATTAATGACAGGTTGATACATAATAGTAGATAGATTTGGAAGCCCCAGTTGTAATCACAAGGTGGAGGAGGAGATATATTGCGGAATACCCAACAAATTTCTAAAGAATTTGACTTGAAGAAAATAAAGACCTTCTATATGACCAGTATACCAACTGGAGCCAAACCCAAAAAACAGACCTCCCAGTATCAGGACTCCAAAGACAACAAAACTGGGGCCAAAATCAGTCCAATAATACACTCTAAACACTAAATATGTATGCTAATACAATCACTTTTATACTTTATAATAGTATCTAAGTATACAAAATGTTTACAATGTATACAACCTAACCATACAATATCCTATTGTTATACAATTTACTAATATACTAACATACAATAATTACAAACAGAATACCAATTGCTGCCAACAGCCAAAAGATTTTTTGTGGAATTTCAGGACATGTGCTGTTAACAGTCAAAGGCATGTAGAACTTGACAAAGCAGCTGGCTTTTGCTTGGTTTCGTATCTTAAGTTCCTCAGAAGCAAGTTAACTTATTTTGTGTAAGAGTTTTCTTTATGTTGTAATGTTACTTCCTGGTTTCTAAAGGTTTTTCTTCACAAGAGTTGCTACATTTAGTATCGGGGCAAGCCCTTATTTCCTTAGAGGATTTCTCATATGGGACCTGTCTTTGACAGACTAAGCTTCGAAGCTGAAATAGTCTACTGGCAGCAATTGGTATTCTGTTTGCAATTATTGTATGTTAGTATATTAGTAAATTGTATAACATTAGGATATTGTATGGTTAGGTTGTATACATTGTAAACATTTTGTATACTTAGATACTATTATAAAGTATAAAAGTGATTGTATTAGCATACATATTTAGTGTTTAGAGTGTATTATTGGACTGATTTTGGCCCCAGTTTTGTTGTCTTTGGAGTCCTGATACTGGGAGGTCTGTTTTTTGGGTTTGCCTACAGATGAATCTGCATACAGTCCAAAGCATGAGGTATCAGAAAGGGTTAATATACTAATGCCCTTTGGTTTTTTGAAGCTCTCTACTGTCAAGCCTCAGAACAACAAAAACAAATCACACTTGTCATTAATGTATCTATCATCTGTCAGTAACATTTACCTGAGAGTTCAAGTTTCCAACATACACAGTTCTCCTAATTTCATCAATCTTTGAAGGATCCACATTGCCCATAATTGGTGGCTGGGGTATGTCTCCAATGGCTGTAATATTATGATCCAATGCTGCTGCAGGTATAGCTCCCAGTGGGCTAAGGGAAACACTGAGCTGAAAAACAGAGAATATGTTTTACAGAATATCTTTGACCATTACGAACCAATACACAATCCAGAGAAGTTCAAAGCATACATATCAGTTGCACTGTTAGGACTCAAGAGTTCCCTGGCCCCAATCTTAGCCCCTGTTTCGAAATGTCTGGTAAGTATCCACAAGCCATCTTAATGGCCAGGTAGGAAAATTAAAGTAATATTATTAGAATGAAGAAAGCAGTGATTAAAGTTTTCAAAAACTAGTTACCTTGACACAAACACCTTATACAAGCAGGAGATAAACATTAATGAAAGCACCTTTGGCTACTTATATTCAAAATCTGAAAAGTCCACTACTTTAAGATTAACACATGTCACTGTCACGGGGCATATACTGAAAATGGCAGCTTCTGTTAGGCAACATTATACATTAAATTGTATTCACCTGGCTCAAATGACTTTGTGTTGGTATAGGAAGCAATCCTCCACCAGACATCAGGGTTGTCATTGTAGGGGCAGGAGCCAAGAGAGAGAGGGCTTTGGCTTCATCTGGAATTTTACCTGAAGAAGCAAACATTTGCATTACCAAAAGCAAGACACCTCAACCGTTACTTTCTCTATTTTTACCATTACCCTTCAAGTTAAATATAGTAAAGAAAAAAAATCAATCTACCAGAGCCTTACAAAGAAATAAAATAATTCAAGTTTTTTTTCTTTTCCCCTGCTCGACTAGGAACAAGTGAGCAAAACTAGCAATCTCATTACCGGTTTATTACTTTAAAAACTGAACAATGCAGACAATTATTTAACACTTTGAGCTATGGGTCACCTGTACTGGAAACTTAATGTTCATGAACCAAACGATATCAAGCATGGACGCTTTCGCAGGACGTTGTTTTCACGGTGATCGAAAGTTGTGTTACACATGACAACCGTTCGTGTTGGCTGCATCACTAATAGCACACAGAACATCAGATACAGAAAAGAAGAACATTTTTTAAAGTTTAATCCCCAGAAATGGCAAATAACCAAATCAGTCAAAAGGAAAAAAAGGAGGAAATAGGAGTGTGTGAACCAAAATCTGCCCTTTTCTTCTGCTAAAGGTGGCTGAATAAAAAAAAGTTACCAAATGACTGCAACAGTCAAACTGGCCGCAAGGAGGGCAACAAAATTTAGATCTACACTACTTTTTTGGTTAACAGTGTGATCTTAAGCAGACTTACACTTTCTGTATTAACTGAAGTAAATCGATGTAGAAAAATGCAATTCTGCTTATAACATCACCGTGACGAACTTCAATTACATGAGGACTACAGCTTCCTTAATTTCAGGACAGCGGAGAATCAGGAGGGTTTTCGGAAGCACGTGCTAAATGTCACTGGACCTATTCAGACATAATCACGGTTCAGCATTTTTACCCAAGCTAGCCGTGGGTGGAAGGAAATTCACCCACCACTCCACTTGCAAGGTGACAAGCAAGTTTCAGTGGTGCCTCTATGCATGCTGCTGACTGGCAAGCTTCACTGTATGTTTGGGATAAAAACCAGGCAAGAAACCACATACAGCATTAGCCATGGTTAAGTGTGATTTCTAGATGTGTCACAGAGTGCACGGACGTTTTAGGAAACCATGCTTTAAGGACAACCAGTGTACGTTTTCCCTGCCCTGCCCTAAGATGAGCTAAAAATGGCAGTTTCCAAGTTGTTTGTACAAGATACCTAAGCAGCGCTACGAAGAAATTCCAAGAGTAAAGCACTCCTAAGTATGAAGAATCTAGAAGGATTAGCTGAAAAACTGAATTAAAATTTCTACCTACATACAGCAAAGCCTTTGCCTATGGGCACCTTTGCCTGAAGTAACACTTACTTGTCTCACTGTTAGAATCCTAGTTAATTCGGAGCTCATGGAATATCTTATTCCCTGGTGTTTTAAAGATTTCTCCAAACTACAGAGAAGTATAAACTGATTTCAAAGGATAGAAACCTTATCTCCCCCCACCCTCTAATGCTACTGTGAAAGAAATGTTCATAGTATTCTATCAGAAGATCATTTCTCCTGATATAAACCCATGTGGCACCTTTGCTTAGCATAGCAGCACCTGTTGGTTATCTCAAACCCTGTGATGGGTATTCATGCATTCAACTTCTGCCCACTTGCAGGCTCTCTCTGTAGCCACCCCAGCCCCACAGAACAGCCTTCCAGAAGAAATAAGCAAGGCTCTAGCAGTTGTGAAAGGAAGAGAACTTCAGAGTCTTCTGCTGGCTTCTGTAGTTTGTTGAATTTTAGGGCCATGGTCTCTTATGGATTTTTAAAAATAAGGTATCTGCTGGCAGTTTTAACCCGTCAAGGTTTTATATATTTTGTGGTTGTTATGTTTTTAGTTTCCATCCCTCCTTGGGTCCCCATTGCCTGGGAGAAACGGCAGGCTTATAAATATTTTGAATAAAGAGATAAAATAAAGATGGTTTCAGATTAAAAGAATAAAAAGAATTTTATTATAAGTGTGCTCTGAAATGCTGCACTTGATTTTCAAACTCATGAACGTATTTGAGCTTTTGAAACAAAAAAACCCAAGTAAGCCTAAACAGTGTAAAAAAAGCAGCAAAACCATATTAATGGAAATTTTGTTTGAAGATGTTATTCAGATACTGATGTGGGCTGAAAAGAACACCAGGCTCAGGTAGGTAAGCTCCAGATGATGTCCCAGGTATGAACTAACTATTAAACTATTATTTCTGGTATTAAAAATCCTTAAAAGTCAATCAAAAATGGGTAAAACAATGGAAAACTTGCCACTGACTGAAATGAGGCTATTTCTTTACACAGATCCTCTCAATAGACCATTAATTTGGAACAAAAAACTATTGTTACTAAGGCAACTATATAGCTATAGCAACTGATTAGGAATCTTTCCTGAGTAGGAAACAGAAGTGGTGAATACTTTACTAGGAAAAAAAATCTAGCCATTTAAAATAGTCCACATTTTGAACACAACCCATCTTTAAAACCAAAAATTTTAATGTAACTTCTATTTTTGATCATCAAGGATGTTTAATAATAATGATGATGGTTTTTAGATGTGATGTATTAATTTTACTGGTTTTTATTTGTTGTAAGGCGCCCTGAGCCGCTTCGGCGGGAGGGCGGGATAAAAATCTAATTAATAAATAACTTCTATTTTTGATAATCAAGGATGTTTAGTAATAATAATCTAAAATATAAAGAAAAAGCCTATTAGATTTCCTAAGCAACTTTTCCTCTGAGATAAAAGTATAATAGTTAAATAATCTGAAGCAATTTAAGAGAACATGTTTTGTTCTGCTTAAATATATCTATTCCTTTTCCTAATCTGGTGATCAAAATGGAATATGTCCACAAAAATTAAAAAAAAAAAACATTTTTCAGAAGAAAGAACCCATAGCCTAAAAAAGAAGTTGTTAATGGAGGTTGGAGTCCTTCCTATATACAAAACACAGAGCACTTGGGATGGCTGAAGAACTTTTTCAGAAACAATGATTTAGAGCACACAGATATACATACACACACACGGCATTCATTCTGATCATGTCATTTTAAACTGAGTAACTGCAATTGGTTAAAGTCATTATTAATATTATTATTAATAATGAGTTTTCAGTGTTACCATTTACTTCTGCAATTTAAAATCGGAGGACGGTATCTTACCCCTCTTTTAAGGTCAGTTTTGTATTTCCAAAAAGTTTAAAGTAGTTTTAGCTTTAATGAGCAACATTCCACTAGAAAAATCAGTATCTTGTGAAAGATCTATTGCTATCTCAACACGTGTTCACATTAAGATCACCAGAAGTTTCAGAGGATGCGAATTTTTTTTATTTAAAAAAAAGAATGTGATGAAAAAGGGAACAGTATAAATTTGCATTCTCTCATATCTGCTGCTGAGAAATACAACAAAGAACTGTTGATATTTTCTTGTGTAGTTTGTGCAGAAACTTGACAACGAAAACACTTCTATGATGTGTCTCTGCTGTACCTAAGAAAGTATGCCGTAATCATATGTCAAGGTTCACGAGACAAATAAATGGCGGGTTCCATCTTCCCATAGAATGCTACAGTAAAGAGAAGACAGTATACAAAACAAACACTGGTCAATACTTCATAATCCGTTTACAGAGATTTGAGTTCTCTCCAGTTTTTTTTTTTAAATGCCAGAAACTTGAACATTTAAAATAAATATAATTATTTTCTACTTTGGCCAAAGACACAGCTTGAAACAACAATGGCTGCCTGCTCATTCTCATCCAGGGATGAGGAGCCTCTTCTTTGTGGTGATCTCCCACATCGTTGTAATATTCACATACATATTGCAGCTGCATGAGAGAAAATCCCACAAAAGTTGTTCCTATACCACTCAACGAGTATGCAAAAGGCCCCACTGTCTATCTCAAGAATGGTCCTGATTAGCCAAGGTCTATGATTTTCCTTGTATGAGTCAAGAGGTTACAGGGAAGGCGTCAAGAAAAGAAGTGTCAAAGGACATTTCAAGAGAAATGTATTCCAGGGGGAAAGTCCACATATTTAACAGCTTCAATACATTGAGCCAACAGAACCAAATGTACTACTTCACTTCTCAAACAGCCCAATCCCAGCATGGTCTATTTGGAAGCGATATGCATTTATTTCAGTGGAATTTATTTCAAAGTTTGCATGCTGAGGACTGCACCCAGACTGATTACTAAGTCAGTTCCAAGGCAGTAGACAGCCTGACTAAGAATGCATCACTGAGAGAATTCTCATCTATGAGCAGTCAAGTTTTAAATGAAACATGAACCCTTATAACAGAACACCAATTTTACAGAACTGAAGAACCAGTTCACAAGTAGAAATAAAAGAAGTAAAGCAAAAAAAGGGACAAAATTAGAAAAAAGAAACAGAAACAAAATAAAATAAAAACAGAGACAGGGCGTCCGTCTTCTGCAGGCCAGACTTCGCTCTCATTTCCCCATGAAGTTGTCACTTGGCGGCAGGTTTAGTGGCATGGCAAACAATGCCTAACTCAGGCAAGTGTAACAGGTCTGCCTTGGCCAGTCTAGTCATCTAATAATGCACAAATATCACACAGAAAAAACATACAAAACCAAATTAATAGTCAAAATCCATCTACCAGAAAATGTGGACATAAAAGTTTAGAATGATGGTTAAGGTGGCATCTTTGATACATTTCAACTTTTTGCCTTTCTCAAACTGGAATAAGCTCAGAGAAATCTCAAATACACATACAATGGAAAAAGGGTCACATCTTGACAATGTAATGATGTATTGCTATATCTAAAATCACAATGTTGGTTAGTAATGTGGCTACTGAGGAAGAGTGTATGTAAATGTTACACACTGAACACCAATTTTACTGCCCAATGCAACCATACCCACACAACATTAATTATAATTCTTAACAGATGGATCAGAATTATTCTTTAAAAAACTTTGTAATCCTCCTCTTTCCCCCCCATCTCTCTCTGTGCCCATTGTACATACAGACACTAAATGATTCAGCAACAAAGTTATTATATATCACAATTGCTGGCATGCACAGCAGAGTTCAGCTGTTATTAACAAAGAGGAAATATAACTGGGCACATTACTCCTGCGTTCTGCAGCCTGGACCAGCTTTCAGTTTGTTCCAATTGAAATTCAAGGAACATGCTAGATTTGACATACCAAGTTCTCAAGTCTGATCACCGTTCAACCCAAACACGTTCATTACAACTGCAGAAATTCTGAACACTCTTATAAACAATCCTTAAAATCATGTAATTGGGAAGCTCCATGGAGAACTTCAACTTTGGAATGCTTAAGAGTCCTGTCTTTCAGGACACTGTACAAGAGAACTTACACTGATAGTAGGAGATTTTTGTGATTTCTGCATTTCCCTCTAATCTGTGTTTGCCTTTGCGTGTGTTGCCTATTCATGCTTTTTAATTATTCATATGAGGTCAGAGGCCACTGTGAACATTTTTTTAAAAAGTTCAAAACCCTGTATGTCAGAAGAGAAAAGATAGTTGACAAGTAGGGTACCAGACTGCAAGTGAGGGAGGGAGGGAGGGAGGGAGGGAGGGGACAGATTTTACAGAGAGGTTACAAACAGCGGACACCTAGCATAAGCATTCTGTATTTGACGATGAAGTCCACTGTCACTTGTAATCATATATGCTGTCTGTATAGATTCCCTCAGTCCAAACACAGCTTTGCTGACTTCTTGCTATGAGCTAAGTACTCTTCCAATCTCTCTAAGTATCAGTCTATGAATAAACCTTCAAAAGTTCTGCAATTGCTGGCTCTACAACAGGGTACCCAAGCAAGAACCAGATTTGTAAAGTCTAGAAAGTACTTGGGCACTATCTTCCTAGAAAGATAGCTTTCTAGGCCAGCTTTCATAGACAGGTTGTTTGCTAGGCTTTAGAAATCTGGTTCTCGATTTGGTCAAGAAATTCCAGCTACCCTAGCATGTTGCCAGCAAATCCAGAACTAGAATGGTAGGTATCTCTGTGTAAATTGCCAGCAATTCCAGAACTAGAATGGTAGGTATCTCTGTGTAAAGCAAAGTAAAGCATACTGGGATCACTATAAGCAAACTCAGATCCATCAGTGAGAATTTAATGAGAACTAGAAAGAATAGAAGATTATTAGTTAGCAGTGCTTTAAAGCCACTATTCTGTCCTCCAAGCAATGTTTGATTTTTTCTTTTTATACAGGGTGACAGTTTTAAGCTTCCTTGAAACACACATTCCTATATCTAAAACACATTCTTATTGCTCAAAGTGTATACCCTGAGAACAGAAATACCACACTGTGTGCACAAACAAGGCCACACTATTCTGTATTTGGGACAGTATATTCAATGTTGTTTACATTATCTAAATCTGAACATATACCAGTTCTACATCAGACATTTCACAGAAATGATTCTATTTTAGCAAGAGGTGCAGCAAGTTGTAAGGGCTCATATATAGCAAGATAAACAATAGGGCCGTTCCGATATCCAAATAGAGTTCTTCCAGTTAGTGCTCTGGCTCCTGTTTTAGCAAGCATTAATCTCCACAATCAGAACCATGATGAATCTGATTTCTGAAAGGAAGAACTGAGGCCCACAGGAAGGCATACTCTTCAGACTATATACAGCCATGTCAACGGAGCCCCACAAATGCAAGTGCTCTTGTTCAGACTATTAAAAGATGGGACTTACTGTCTGACAAAGTGCAATCAAGTAAACAATGAGGTATCAAAGCATCTTTTAAGTGCATTTAAAATTATGTTACAAAGCAACAATAGCTTGCCGTAATAAATACACTTCAATTAGCAATTTGTTTTGATTACATGTTTATAAATGTTAAGAGCATAAACTGCACATATACTTATATCTGTACGTATAAATCAAGAATTCAGAGTAAAACCCCAGCATTCAATTCAATACCTACAATTAAAGTGTTTTCTCCCTCTTATGGGAAAAGATCCAGCAAGGATGCAATCTGAGTTAACAGATCTTGATACTGGACACTGTAACTTTGGCACCAGGAACCTGGAGGTGCTCACCTATCATTCAGAACACATGCACTGACTGCCTACAACAATCCTAGGGTTAATAATGATCCCCACTGCTGCTGTACCACATTCTCAGCTCAGAAGACAACCTAATGATCATCCTCGGTCTCTTTACTACCTTCTGTTTCAGTTTCTATTCTTCTCGGACAAAAAATACTTCCAAAGTCTTCTTCCAACTTCTGTCTGAAGTTAGGTAACTCCGCAATTTACAGATCATGGCAAGTGCTCCCGAGATCGCAGTCTGCTTCCCAGCTAGTTTCAGGAGGCTGGATTTCTTCCCTCCAAGCACTCTCTACAACTTTCCCTCACCTGAAAAGGATGCTGCTACCTGTTTCTTTCCTATCTCCTAAAGATAGCACATGGGCATCCTGTACAGGTAATATAGCTGTTACAGGCATCATTTATTATCTGAACATCTGGTGTAGTTTATATATAGCAGCAATGCATGTTGCAATACTACTGTGAAAGCTGCATTAATTGGCACCTGTACTAGTGTGATCTCATTAAAACTGCAGAACATCCTAGTGTCCCAAACAAAAGATTTTCATCAACAGTGTATACACAGAATATAATATACCATTGCTTAAATTTATTTGCAAAATAACTCTATCCTAACCCCTAGACACTTATTACATCTCTTCAGTTCTTTTTAGGGCTGGATAATCCCAACTTTTAATGGAAGTAAGAACATAGTGTTATAATTCTCACTATTTCAGCGATAAGTCTGAATACACAACTCAAGTTCTTAAACATAGTTTCCATTTCAGCTTGTATCTGTCAAAGTGAGCTCTGGCTCACAAAAGCTTATTTCGTTAGTCTTTGTCACAAGACTCGTAAGTTGTCTGAATGCCATTGGCGTTCCTCAACCTGATAGTAAGCCAGTATTTTGGGAAGACAGGCAAGCACAAATGTTTAGAGACATCCACTTTAAATGCTTAAAGACATCTGCTTAGCCTCAACCAGAGCCAGAGCCTTCTTGGCTCTGGCGCCAGTCTGGTGGAACGCTCTCCCAAGTGAAATTCGGGCCCTGTGGGATCTAATGCAGTTTTGCAGGGCCTGTAAAACACAGATGCTCCGCCAGACCTATGGTTGAGGTGGTGGAGTTCCATCTGCATTGGCCTCCCCTTGCTCTGGTAGCCCATTTGCTAATTAGCATCCTAACGCCCACAGTCACACATGAAACACAATCTCCTTTGAGAGAAGATGCACTAGCTGCATCACATCTTTGATCGCCATCTGATTGTTTAATTTTAAAATTGTTGTTATGAATTGGATTTTGTTATACAATTATTAATTTATTACTGTTTTAATGTATTGTTAGCTTTGGCTGTTACTTGCCCTGAGCCCTGCTGTGCAGGGGTAGGGCGGTCTATAAGCCTAATATAATAAATAATAAATTAAGATATTGACGTGCAGGTTTTAAAAACAAAACCATTCACCCTTGCAATAGATAAACATAATCGTATTTTATGAAGAGAAAATACCCACACGTTTTAGACCTACGAGAGAATTTAAAAGTGCAGCAAACATGTTTTCTTCTTTTTTCTTAAAGGGTCGTTCAGCCCATCTCCCTCAAATGAGAACTGAATCACCAAAAAAGCAAAGTAGACAAAATAGCAACTCCTTGGCAGTTGCTGGAAAACACGAGGAACAAACTGACAGAACAGAGAACAAGAAATCAGAAAAAAGTCTGAAATACTAACCTTCTGCACAGGGCACAACTATCAGAGCTCTGTCAATAAAAACCGTGTTTGTTAGATGCTGGGCCACACCAACACTTGAAGATTCCCGAAACTTAATATAACATACTTTGGAGGAAAAAGCGAGTGGTGCGTTGCTGTAAGATAAGAGAAAACTAATTAGATGTCACTGAACCCAGCTCAAATGTAATTATAAACAGTCCTAGAGCAAGCAACACAAAAATGTATGTTTTACCAGGCAGCCCTAGTTTATTTTGGATTGGTGCAGCCATAACACTAGCTCACCCCCAAAAATGGGTATTGGCCCTCCTCCCTGTATTGTATGCTTGTGTTTTTATTGAATTATTTTATAATTTAAAATATTGTTATTCATTGTTGAGATGTTTTAATGTTTTCCTGTTTGCCACCTTGCAGACCCTGCTTGGGCGGAGAGGCAGGATAAAAATGTTTCAAATAAATAATTAAATAAATAGGGACCGATCCCAAATCCAGGTTTTGCAATTTGCATTGCCACAGATCAGTCCCAGTCCCTTATTAACAACTGAGCAAGCACTGCATCTTCATCAGCTTAAGCTCTCACTCAGCCTGAACTTGTTAGACAGGTAAGCAAAGTATTTAGACTACTAACTATGAGAGATGTGAACAAGAAAGACTTATATTCTGGAAGTGTGGTAAAAGTTTTATATTAGACATTTATTAAATATTTCATCTTGCACAGAAATCAGAACGATTTCGGTAACAAACAGTTATTAGTTCCCATTTGACTGCTTAAGGCTGCTCTCCAGCCACACTCATCTAACTTGTATATTAATTGGATGCTTGAAGATAGCACACATTAAGTAATTATACAATTGCAATTTACAAATGTGTAATCACACCACAGATTATTAAGGGTGTATTTAAACATCTCCCCCTGGATGCAGGGAATTCTACTGTAAATTGTTTCCCCTAGCAACACTTGACAACCCTGCTGGGGTTTCTTTGTTTTCTCCTCCTTAAGAAGCCTAGTAACAGAAACAAAATTACTGTTGTAGTATTAATTTAATATTATTGCTCTTGACCACGTTCAATCTGCCTTCAGGCCCAGTTAGGGGTCAACTACAGCCTTGGTTGTGCTGCTGGACAATCTTTGTTTCCATACTGATAAAAGTAAATTTTCTCTGCTAGTTGAAGCACTTGAAGAGTAGAGAATAAAAGGAACAGCAATGAGATGGTTTAAATCCTTTCTATCAAGCCAAGTTAAGAGAGTGGTTGTTGTAGTGTTAAAGTCTGCTGTTTGGGATTTAACCTGCTGGATGCCACTGAGATTTTCCCTACTTCTCATGCTTTTAAACATTTATGTAAGACCACTGCATGAGATTATTCAAACATTTGGGGTGGGATGTCATCAATATGCTGATGTAAAGAGTTTTCAGTGCCTTTGATTTTCTTTTTTTAAATTTTAAAAATGTATGGGAAATATATGCTATACTGTTTGTACATTTTTACAAGTATTATTCCAATAAAGCATCAGAACATTTTCTAATACACATTTTCCCAGAAAACCAACATCAGTGGGGAGAACATGCAAAGGTAAATCCTGAGAAAACAGAGTTGATGCTGGTGGATAAGGCTGATGTTTTACAGGAAATTGTGCTGCCTTTCTTTTACAGATTCAGTTAAGAGCTTGGGAGTCTTGTTGGATTCAGCCTTTTTGTTGGAACAGTATGTTAGTGTGGCCCTGTTCATACGAGCCCATTTGGGCCGGGAGCGGGACGGAACGGGGGCGGAGCAAACGGCCGCGATCCCACCTCAACATCTGGGGAGCGTGCCGTCTCCGTCCCTGATCCGGCCCAAATGGCGATACCCCGCTGCAAAAACGAACCACCTATCTAGGTGGTTGCAACCGTCTGGAGCGCCCCCAAGCCGGCCGTGGGATCGGCGGCGCGTCCTTGCGCCGCCGCATCCCGGCCTCCGGCCGTACTGCGCATGCTCGGGCATGCGCAGTTCGGCAGCCTCCCCCTCCCATCGGGCTCGTCCTCCCCGGCGTCTGCTCTTGCCGGGGAGGAGAGGCGCCGCGGCCAGGGGATCCGTGGGATCCCGCCGCAGCGTCTCAACGTTGGAGCGGCTCTATTTAGCCGCGCTTTGCCTCGTGGTTTCCCTGCCGTGTGGCAGGCACCTGTGATAGTCAAAAGTGCTTTTTTCAACCACATCTAGCATGGAAATTCTCTTCACTCTAGCCACACTGATCCATGCTACAGTAATTGTTTCCAAATTAAATTCGAGGCACTATTTCTTACCTTTAAAGTTTTTCACAACCTAGACCTCATACCTGAAGGACTGTATTTCCCTATATGTTCCCTTGAAGAAACAGTAATCATCTCAGAAGGGTCTTTAGTCAGCATGACCTGTAAGAACAGCCGTGGCTAGATTTCTGGCCTTTATGGCAGTTCTAATGCTTTGACACAGCCTTCTGGAAAGTTTCAGGAAGCTACACTACTTTAATTAGGTAACAGTGCAAAGCACAGGGTTTTTTTTCACAGTGTTTTAAATAATTGTGAAACTAACTTGTATTTTGTTCAAATGTTGGCTGCTTATGGTTTTAACATTTAGCTGGTCAGAACTGTGGTTTTAAATCTGATTGTAAGATGTTTTAGATCTTTTATGAAGGAGAAAAACAAAAATCAATTAATAAAATTTATGTTTCAAAAAAAATGAAGGAGAAAAACAAGATTTCAGTTTTCAAAAAAAATTACATAGAAGTAGCCAGTTTTCCAATTAAGTGTCTTTCCAGATTTTAAGTATTCTAAAAGGTAGCAGTGTTAAATCCATATGTAGCCATACATATTAACTTAGAAATGCCCAGGTGAAAGTAAACATTTTTAAAATTTTATTTTTTATATATTGTATTCCAGATTAAGAGACCTATGGGATATTCTTACAGCTAACCAGATCAAACTGAAATAAGTGTCCCATTCCAATTTAAGGGAACTGTAGCCTGGAGTCAATGACCCATACTCTGATTTTTCTATCAAAGTATAAAAAAAAAATCGAAATCAGTAGATTCAGTTGGTTTTGAGCATTCAGCTATGCATAAATTGTAGGGCATGCAATCTGAATCTTCTGTAGTATTTTATCACAGATAAAGTATATTTAAAAGGATTCTCACTGTAAAATACTTTTGTTTTGTTTTCATATGTATTAAAGATGATATATTTAGGCTAGGCTTTACTACATCTTACATTAGTCAGTCTGCAGTAATATAAATGTGGCCATAAAACATATTATAAAACTACTTGGGACACATGTTAGGATTTGAAGCTGTTGGTGTTGCATTCAGATTAGGGATGTAAAACAACAAATGTTTAAACAACTGAGCTATAAGAATTTGTTTACTCTTTAAATGTTTTCCAAGTCTTGGAAAACTGGCTAAGGGTCACTTGTGCATTCCAGGACCATCTATGTTTGTGGAATGCATGTCTTCCAAATACCAGCCTTAATCGTTAATAGTTGGAACACAACTGCAGCACATTAACACATTAATTTTTCTTAACAAAAATAGTTAGCAGAGGTTTAAATGGCAGCTTTATTAAATGAAATTTACATTCCTGGTTGTTTTATGCAAAATGTTACTTTTACACACTTAGAAGGAAAAAACTGATAAAAACAAGAAGGTAGCTTTCCCACACCCACGGACAGTTTGTTGATGAATATTAAAAGCCTCATGTCTGAAAAGGGGCCTCCCATCATTAACAACGTTCATGAGAGATTTAAGGTCAGAATGCTAACAGGATGATTCCACACATATACGGCCACTGAAGTATCTTTAAATGTACAAGGAAAAAGCCCCATAATGTTTTCTGTCTTAATTTTACTGCTCAAGCTCCACTACAAGTAACTGGAAATAAGCCCCATTTATTTAAAGGTAAAGGTTCCCTTGCTCGAAAGCCAGTCGAGTCCGACTCTAGGGTTGCGGTGCTCATCTCCGTTTCAAAGCCGAAGAGCCAGCGCTGTCCGAAGACGTTTCCGTGGTCATGTGGCTGGCATGACTAAGCACCAAGGTGCACGGAACGCTGTTCCCTTCCCACCGAAGTGGTACCTATTCATCTACTTGCAATTTCTTGCTTTCGAAGTGCTAGGTTGGCAGGAGCTGGAACTAGAGACGGGAGCTCACTCCCTCATGCGCCACACTCGGGTCTTGCCCATTTATTTACATGGGACTTATTCCCAAGTAAGTGTTCGAAGGCCTGGCGTTTCTAAGGGTTTTGGGTTGTTGTTTTTTTTTTTTAAAAAAAAAGTCTTAAACCTTTCAGGGGGACTTAAGTAGAGCTGGAGCTGAGGGCGCAATAAAGAAGAGGAATTCAAGGAGGGAAAAAGCGCCTTGAAGGAAGAAGATGGACGCGAGCCTCAGAAAAGAGGCACAAAACCCAACTAAAAGGCTCTCACGCCTATTAAAGGACCGATGTTAAGGTGACCTCAACCTGTTTTCCCCCCAAACGGAGCACCAGGATGCATTTCCCAGCAACAATCCCCATAGGAAGGGGGGAAACCTGAAAGAGCTACGACTGAAGCGATTTGGGCTCAAGGTGGGGGGGGGGAGAAAAGGGGGGGGGTGAGAAACCCGTCACCAGCCGCCATCTTAATTTCGGGCAATTCCTTTCTTTCCTAAAGATCGTTCAGCGCAATGCATGTTACCAGCTCCCACAAGCAAGATGGCAGACAAGGCTTCCGGTCAGTTCCCCCCCTCCTCTCGTTCCCTATATTATCTATGGCCCAGAGGGCCCGGTCGGGCCTCACTTACTCCGGAGGGTAGAGTCGCAACTCCTCGATGTCGCCTAAGAAACCGAAGAGAACGCATCTGCTCACTAGTGACCGCTGAAGATAAATTAGTGACCTGGATAACCGAAGTCGGCGTCAAGGGGAAACCCAGAGGCACCCCGATCCCTCCGCTGTTCAGCATGATGGCGGCAACTGTGCTCTGCGGACTCAACCAACACTCACCCGAGGAGACGGAAGTTACCATAGAGAAACAACTGCGTGTCTTCCTAGAGTATGCTGACGCTCTCAGACTTTGAAGCATGCGGCTGTCCCCTACGGTCGAAGCGCCGGTATTGCGTGCCCTAATTGAATTCAGCGCAACTTTCTTCCCGTCTCAGGTGAAGAGAGCGATTGATGGGCAAGCGGGGGCTACAGCAGTATTATTCCGATTACTAGTGGGAGTGAAGAGAACCAGTAACCCCCCCCCCCCATTGTGGTTAAAAACAAATCTGAACGCCCTTCAGTTCCGATATTCTTTGCGGAAAACGCAGGAACCCATGTGGCATTGGGAATCCCCGGCTTCAAAACCCCATTAAGCTTACTGGGTGGCCTTTTGCTAGTCACTGTCGACCTAAGTTGCCTCAAAGGGTTGTTAAAATGATAAAAGGGGGAAGGGGAAAAACTTGTACACTACTCTGCGCTACTTGGAAGAATGGCAAGATTTTAAAATCTATCTATATATCTAATAGTCTGTGCGGATATCCGCCCTTCGGGGCCACCTGGGGGGGAGGGAGAGGTTTGTGCGCACGTGGTGCTTTCCCCACGTGTGCACAAAAATCTTAAAGTGTGTAAAAATTATGGGGGGGCGCTTATTTTAACAAAAGTAAAAAAGAGCGTTCCCTTGCTTGAAAGCCAGTCAAATCCAACTCATCTCCGTTTCAAAGCCAAAGAGCCAGCGCTGTCCGAAGGGATTCCTGTGGTCATGTGGCCGGCATGACTAAATGCCAAGGCACACGGAATGCTGTTACCTTCCCACTGAAGTGGTACCTATTTATCTACTTACAATTTCTTGCTTTTGAACTGCTAGGTTGGCCTATCAGATGTTAAAATATAGGACAGGCTGTTTAAGCTTAGGAGTTCTAAAACTCCGTACAGAGTTACCATTATCTTAAAGCTTGCTCCAGCTCTTTAGGCAAGCACATGCTCAATGACTGCCTTCCCAGCAGAGAGGTCTGTGTCCGCACATGGACTCAGCACCCAAGTAAAAGAGAGCTCCTTCCTGCTGCAAGGAGTCTGTTTCTCCACCCACTGACCTGGTCATGCCAGGTCAAAGAGGTGTTTCCTGAAGATCTCCAGGAATCTCCTTCCTGAAGACTCTCTAACATTTAAAACCTCCAAATCTCTGTTTCCTGCTTGGGGAAGTGGGAGAGCTTGACCCACCCATTATCTCATTTGTATGAGGGTAAGATGGAAAACAATTGCACTCTCACACACACACCCAACCTGTTCTGTGCGCCGGGGAAGGGGGGGAGACCTTTTAAAATGCACAGTGGAGATTTTGCTCAGCTCAAACCTCCCATAAAAAAATGAATTTCTTCCCAAGCTACAACAAAACAATAGAGATGGAAAACAGATAAAAACATAGCACACAAGTACATTGTCAAAAGATTTACCCACTACGTAGCTGACATTTTGACTTGCGCGAGCTTAAGCCATCAGCAGGGTGAGGCGTCCATGCCTGTTAGATATCAGTATGACTGAGCTCCACAGTAAAATAGCGGAAGCTGGATGGGGCTCTTTTGGCAGAGTTGAATGATCTGTGCACATGTATGTTTAAACTCTACATTATGGATTCAGATCTTTTTGGAATACTGTGCTCGGCACATCTGCATATGTTAAAAGAAGGAATAAGATCTGCACTACCTCTCCAATGCCGCAGGTCTGGCCAGCCTTGCACAGCTGACTCAGAAGGTGTCAGATAATTCCTCAAAGCCAGGTGTCTATAACAGAAAAAAGCTAGAAACCTTTTCATAACAGAACCCCCTGACAAATATGAATTAGTCACTCAACTGACCAACACAGCAAAGATTTTACGGCTGGCTAAAATAAGCCAGGAAAGGCAAGGATATTTATTTATTTATTTATTTATTAAATTTCTACCCCGCCATCCCAGCCAAGGCCGGCTCAGGGTGGCTTACATAGAGTCAGCACATAGTTTACAATAAAACATAACATATAAATTAGATTAAAACAATTCTAAAACCATTTAGACCACACAGTATGATAAAGTGTTAGTGACGTCGATTTCATAATGGCTGCTGTTATTCATTCTCTCTTCTCACAGTCAGTTATTTGGTCTCCTTTGATTATCCTTCCGGCAGCTAGCTCAGGCTGTTGTTGGAATTCCAAGAGAAAACTCTCTAACTCTCATCTGTCAGTTCTTAATGGTAGTGGCGACTCCAAAATCCTGGTGGAAGAGCTTTGTTTTACAGGCTCTGTGGAACTGCAAAAGATCCCGCAGGGCCCTGATCTCCTCTGGGAAATCATTCCACCAGAGAGGAGCCGCCACTGAGAAAGCCCTGGCCCTGGTTACTGCCAGCCTGGCCTCCTTAAAACCCGGGAGGGCCAGTCCTGGGCCCCGATCGCAGTGCTCTCTGGGGTACATGTGGAGAAAGGTGGTCCTTTAGAGGTTATGTTGTGACACAGATTTCTCTAGGTACTTGTGACGGAAGCTTTCAAATCCTGCCCTCCAGAAGCTTCAGACAATCACTTTCAAATGGTTGAAAAAAAGAGGGGGGGGAGGAGAAGTTTGGCAGTTTGACCAACTGACAGAGTTGAGGTTTGTTAGTGGCATCCCGGTCTTAAGTGGACATGAGCAAAGTACCCAACAAGTATCTTTCAAACACATTATAGTGGGCCACCAAAAGCTAAGCCTGGTCAATGACCACCAGTTGCAGCAGTGTCTTTAAAAAAGTAGAAAAGATCCATTAAACAATATATAGACAAGATGCATTAGACAATGCTCTATAGACTATAGTTAATGGAGCAACTGCCACCAAGACTGAGAGTATAAACCAGGGGTGGCCAAACTGCGGCTTGGGAGCCACATGAGGCTCTTTCACACATATTGTGCGGCTCCCAGCAGGGCGGCTGGGAAAGCAAAGGGGAGGCATGCCTCCCCAAACAGTCTTACCTCCCCAGCCAGTGTTTCCCTACCTGGGTAGGCTTGAGGGGGGGGGGGAGCAGAGAAAGAAAGCAACTTTAAGTGCGTCCTCAAAGCCCCTCTGCCAGCCAGCTTGGAGAAGGCATTTGTCTCTTTAAATCCCTTCTCTAAGTCAAGCCAGGATACATTGCTTTCTTTCCACCTCTCCCTCCCTCCCCCCCTCCCCCCATCTATTTGCTTTCTTTCCACTTTCTTTTTTCCCATGTCTCTCTCTCTCTCTCTCTGCCAAATAAATATAATTAGGAAACAAATAAATATCATTATCAATACCTGTTTTTATTGTTGGCAGTATCATTTAATGTTAATAAAAAGCAAATTTGCAGAGTTTAATAAAAACGTGTGTAATATTTGTTCATGTCTTGCAGCTCTCAAACATCTGACGTTTATTCTATGTGGCTCTTATGTTAAACAAGTTTGGACACCCCTGGTATAAACCTTCAGCTGGGCCCAGCCACGTGCAGTTGTACATTCCCTGAGTTTTGGGGCACCTGCATTCAAGGTGGCTTCCTCTCTGCTCCAAAGAAACCCAAGAAACTGCAACAGAGACGAGAGAGCTGAATGACTGTGTCTACAGCCCTGGTAAACTCCGTGTTCTGGTGATCAATCACAGCATCAACAGGAAGGCTAGACAGGTGAGTGGTTACCTCCCCAAGGGGATCCTTGAATGTTCCTAGGATCCAGTAGCCTTCAAAGGTAGACCATCTTCTGTGGAGACTGAAAAATCTAAAGCACCAGATAGCAACTAAAGCATCACTGGTAGAAAAAAAAATTCAGAATTCAACTAAACATGCAGTAGAACATTACAGAAGCTACTCTGCAATGGTGGTATTTTCCATAACCATTACATTTGCACAGGGCTCTCATGTTGTACAGGATCTGTTATATCAGGATCCCAGAATCCATTGGATGGTATTGTTCATGCTATCAGTCTCTGTAGCCCACTGTGACCATCTCAGTCCTTATGAACTGCCTGCATACTCAGAGCAACTTCTGAGGCTTTGGCTCTACAGGCCCACGGTTTGAGGTGTTGTTAAGTCGCTCACTTAACAAAGCAGTCGGAGAGTGATTCAGCAAGAACACAGCTTTATTCTTTAACTCGGACACAACTCCAACACGGATCAACATATGATAGCCAGAACAACACGGTTCAGGTTTTACATTGCAGTTGCCCTGCTTTTAAACATTCCCAGCTAATGTAGCCACGCCCACTGTACACATACCAACCAATAAGGTTGTTCACATAAGGACCAATCACGGCCGTTCCCACTCAGGGAGCTTGCTGCAAAGTGATTGGCTTGTTACTTCCTGGGCTAGCAATACCATTGGATGTATTTGGATCCTAGCCCAGGATGAAGCTTAACGTTACAAGTTAATGAGATGTTTCACATACATCATGCATTCCATGGCAGCTTTGGAATACACTACAGGTGTAATGGATGGAGTCACATGACAGGGCCTCTCCACTAGCAGCGCCATTATACAATGCTGTCCTGAAAGCTGGTGGCTTCAGTGTTGGCTTCCCTGCTTTTTCTTTGTTTATCTCAGCAAATTTTTATTTCCAATTTAACAGAGAAGAGGAGATTGGATTTATACCCCACCCGTCACTACCTGAAGGAGTCTCAGAGCGGTTTACAATCTCCTTTCCCTTCCCCTCCCCACAACAGACACCCTGTGAGGTAGGTGGGTCTGAGAGAGCTCTTTTGAGAACTGCTCATGAGAGAACAGCTTTGAAACAACTTGTAACAGACCCAAGGTCACACCAGCAGTAGAGAGGGGAATCAAACCCGGTTCTCCCAGATTAGAGTCCACGCCCTTAACCACTACACCAAACTGGCTGTTCTAACGAAGGAAGTGATCAGATCTATAGTGAATTTGTTGTACTATATTGCCTATATTGACTGGTTTTCTAACAATTTCTCTGCAATGTAAACTTGATGGTTTTCTGTGTTTCAAAACCATTCTATGTATCAGGATTATAAATGTGCAAATAGGTTACAGGCCTGTAAGCCTGTAAGCCTAT